GGAGAATACAAGAATCTCACCTGTAATGGATCATCTTTGTCGCCCACTAAATGAGCCGGTGATTGACCTGACAATGAATTGAAAGAGAAAGATTTTGTTTAAAGATTGAAATATACAACTTATTCATAAAACTTATTCATAATAATGATGACAAAATGAATCACCAGGACAAAACGAGGAATGAATTCTCACCATTTTCTTGTGCTCGGAGTTTTTCAGTAAAATGTTTTACCTGAGGAAAAAAAATCAAATATACAACTTTACCTTGGTGTAATGTTTTGGCATTTCAGTCCATGTCTATGACATTCTCTTGAGTATCATTTCTTTGCTTAATGGTTATGCACACATGAATATGGAACAGAAAGGTCAATATTTCAATATTATTTCTTGCCTGGTGGATATTTTTGGTTTTGACATGATTGGCAATGGCATTCCAACGTCCTCGACCAGCATCACTAAACAATGAAGAATTTTAATATTTTGCAGCAATTTTCATGAGTTAACTATTAGGTCCGCCCCACCCTTGGAAATAAGGATTGGTAATGCTATATTAAGCATTCTGGAATTGATAAAGACTACAGAGTGGTTGGGTCAAGTACTTACAAAACAGCCTCTAGGCAGATCTAAGTCAGGGCCAACAGCCAACTCACCAAATCAAATTGTAAGTTAACATGTTAAGTTTTGCAGAGGGCAGAAAACCAGAGAAAAACCCTCTAAGGGGTCTTTCATCTATCAGCGCATGGGAGGGAGGGGAGTTGGCAAAGTCACATGGAAACTTAACAAACAAAACCCAACTATCCGTTCATGGTAAAGGCAACAATATTGCATATTGCAATAGTTCTCAACCCCCTCAAATCATGATWACCCCCACTAACTACTTTATCGAAATAATGTAACCCACTCTACAATTTTGCTAACCCTTCCCCCTCCCCCTTGCTTATAAATGAAAGCCCCCTTATTCTGTAGGAAAAGACCAAACTCTACTCACATGTCATGCCGAGTCTGGRAATCGAACCTGAGAGTGAGAGGTGAGAGGCAAGAGCTCTACCAATATGCTACCCTTACCTGTCAAGTGCATCTAAAAGCAGTCTTTTCTCATGCAGACTCCAYTGAGCATCGACATCTTCTGGCCCATCTTCTGTACACATTTCTTGGGAAACTGCCGCAGAAGAATTCTCATCATCAGTTTTTTTGGCAGCACGTTTTCTTGGCTTCTTAGGCTTTGACCCAGAACCATCCTCATTACTGTCTAATTCTCTTGCAGATATTTGACTGCCATTACCGATATCTTTGTTTTTTCTCTTCTCATTGCAAGAAGCTTTTGTCACTACATTTTCTTGTGGTTTGTCACTATCTTTAGTATTATCCTCTTTTTCTTGGTCAAGATTTGTTGAACAACCACTTTCAAATGTTTCCTTAAAGCTCTGTTTTCCTTTTGGCATTGCATCCCTAGTCTTGCTACAATCTATTTCTATAGSTTTATCTCCAGATGAATTCAAACTCCCATTTTCATTGCTTATTTTCTCTCCCCCGTCTTGYGTTCCAAGAGTGCTAGCTTTGTCACTAGGTTGAATGGAAGTAGACATGACAACCAAGAGTCTTTCATGAATTTCAGCTTTTCCTGACCCAGTGACATCAGTCTCTGTGTTTAGTTTACCATGAAGAATATCTGATTCTGTAATTTTTATTCCCGTACGACATAACAACTCACTGCATTTTGCGCTTTTTGAGCTGTCAAATGTTTGTGCGTTTGAAGTAGTTAAACTTGGCTCAGATTCTTTACTTTGGTTCTTTTCCGTTTCACACAAGGAACTAGCTTCACACGAGACACTAGTAGTTCTTTCTTTGGCTTGGACTACAATTTTTTCTGTCGTTTCAATCTTAACATCCTCTTCCTCCATCTTCGTCTTCAGTCACCAATCTTTCTTAAAGTCAATTCTAACAATTCAAATTTCCTAACTAAACAGTTCTAGGTTCAAAAAGAAACAAATCCAAACCTAGGAGTTAGGAAATTGCTATATCCAAGCGCTGCTGATGATAGAAAAGACAAACTAGGAGCTCAAAAAATAAGAAAATCTTCACCAAATTCAGCACATTTGTCCTCCATTTTGGTTTTTGAGCCGACAGATTTCGCGCYCTTTGGACTGCGGTGTTCAAGATGCCGCAAACTCACGCGCATCTTTGTTGACCAGTCAACGCTGTCAAATAWCTGAGCCCGCGTGAAGGGGAAAAAAGAAGAAAAACCAACCAAATATCTGTAAAAAAAACAAGAAATCTGCTATGAATTTAGAGCTTCTGCGTAAGTAATCACCTAGATTAGATATCAAGGATGCACATCTCTGAAGCGTACAGAGATCGGAGTCTTTTATCTGATGATGCACGCTCAGTAAAATACGTTGCTTTGCTGGTTTAACATTGTTATTGTTAGATACTTTGTTAGGTTTGCTTTTACTACGACTAATTGAATTCTTTTTTTCTTTGGTTTTTAGAAACTTTTGGACAAAGTTACCCCGAGGTATGAAACTGTAATCATCCTTGTTGTATAATAGTTGAGGGAGGGTGATAAGTTTCTAAATATCAGAACCTTTATCTATAATAAACTTGAAGTTAAACTTGAACCATAGTTAACCCCGATCTATTAACTGTTCTTGAACTTAGTTCTTTTGAGGCAATTTGCTCTGTGAGAATCAAAGGATTATCGTTATCTTTGTGATTATTAAAGAAGGTTTAATACGTCTGACCATCACTTTTGTGTCCCAACTGACCTTCTGCAATGATTATGTCATTAAACATATTAATTTAATTATTAGGAATATGATGGTGGACTGGACTCTGTWAGCGTTGCTCTAACAGCGTCATTCAACAGAAGAGGCTCCCTATTGGCTGTTGGGTGTAATGATGGACGTGTTGTGTTATGGGATTTCTTGACACGAGGGATTGCCAAGATTATCAGTGCTCATGTTCATCCAGTAACATCTGTCAGGTAAAGGTCTTATTTCATGCTATGTAGCTTAGTCGTTATGCAAAATGATAAGCTTATTAATTAAAAATTAATATTAATAACACAAAATGGCAACACCAAACTCATCATCATCACATTACATCATGATGATGATCATCAGCATCATCATCTTCATAACATCATCATCACATTGTGATGATCATAATCAGCATTATCATTGTCACAACATCATCATCACCAGCATCACATCATCATCATCATCATCCCATAACATGATGATCATCACCATCATCTTCATTGTCATTATCATCATCATCATCACCCATCTCCTTCATGAGCAGCATCATCATCTTCACAACATCATCACCATATCATGATGATCATAATCAGCATTATCATTACTAATGATGATTGTTATTTCYCCATGTAGTTGGAGTCGTAATGGCAAGAAATTGTTGAGTGGTTCAAACGATTGGAACGTCTCTGTCTGGGATATTTTGACAGGAGAGTGTGAACAGAAATATAGATTCCAATCACCAATTGCTAAAGTACAATTCCATCCACGAAACAAGTAAGCTCATTTAATGAAACATCACTTTAACTTTCTAAGCTGCACGATGTATACATTCAAAGCAAAGAACAAAGAATTGAGTTCTTCAGGGAAAGAAACATGGCATAAAAAAAGTGAAAAACAGTGATAAAGCTGTATTCATTATGTATGGGTCATTATGTATGGAAGACCGAAATTTTAGATAATACCAAAAAATATCACATARTGAATGTGTTCTAAGGTCTAATGAGCTCCCCTGCTTTAAATATTGCCTGGTTTGAGTTGGTATAATACTGTTTCTTTTCAGTGATGAAATATTAGTCTGTCCCACCAAGCAAGGGCCAGTGCTGGTGAATCTCAACGGTAGCCACTCAATTTTGCCGACAGGGGGAGAGGTTAGTAGATAAAAATAGTTGTGTATATGTAATATATGGATTTAAGACACAACTGCAATAAGACACTGGTAATTATTTTGTGTTTCAGTCAGAGCATAATATTGTTGCATCATTCGACAGACGAGGAGAGTATATCTACACAGGGAATTCCAAGGGAAAGGTCTGTATTGAATTCTGTCTTTACTATTGTTGTAGAGTTTAATAAGATGTCCATACCCTATTTCTGGAGGCAAGTTGGGGTTAATCTCTTTCCTCTCAACCTCTTCTCCTCTCCTCTCCTCTCCTCTCCTCTCCTCTCCTCTCCTCTCCTCTCCTATTGTGTGTCTTCTCTTCTCTCCTCTCCTCACCTCGCCTCTTGTCTCCTCTCCTCTCCTCTTGTCTCACCTCCTTTTGTCTTGTTTCACCTTACCTTTAGTCTCCTCTCCTCTCCTCTCCTCTCCTTTTGTCTCACCTCCTTTTGTCTTGTTTCATCTTACCATTAGTCTCCTCTCTTCTCTTCTTGTCTCCTCTTATAATGGCCACCACAAAGAATATCATAAAAAACATAACAAATTTGCAATATTTCTACTATAGGTTATGGTTATTGATGTTAGAAYAAAAGAGGTTAGTACACCACTGATTCCTTTCTTTGTTCAATGTTAAATTTTAGAAATATATTTTTTGGGGGATGTGTTGCTATTATGAGTTGCTTATATATTTTAATATATCTATGGYGGCATTAGGTTATTACATCGTTCAGAATACAGACTGGAACAAGTGCWAACACAGCTATTAAAGCTATTGAGTTTGCTCGGAGAGGAAGGTAAGGCACTTTCTGCTGTCTTGATGTGTAGTTGGGATAATGGCAAGATAATCCTGGATATATGGCGATRGTGGAGATATGATGATGACGATGATAATATTGATAATTATTGGTTGTGGTGATGGTGATGATGATGATGATAGTCAAGATGAAAATAGTGCATAATATTGATAATGGTGGTGATGATAATGATGATGAGGATGTTGATGATGTTKTTGGTGAAGATTAGATTATAATGATAATGCTGCTGATAATGCAGATAAGTAAGCGTAAAGGCGTCTTYGTGCCAATATCTTGTTATATTTTGCATACTATGTTTTCCCAAGATATTTAGRAACAACTTGCTTGTAATATTTTTCAGTGCCTTTTTAATCAATTGTCAAGACAGAATCATCAGAGTGTTTGACCATCAGATCATTCTAGCATGTAAAGATCAGGAAGCYGCTGAACCAGAACCCATACAGAAGCTACAAGATCTTGTCAACAGGTACRATATTCTGTATGATGAGACAAGATGTTTATAATCAGTAAATTCAAAGGTTGCATAGAGATAGTATGCTAGCCTCKCACCTCTGGGGTCTTGGGTGTTATTCCTGGACATCACATGTGAGTAGAGTTTGWTAGGTCTCTACCTTGATTCAAGGGTTTTTTCTCCTGGGTCTAAATTGGGTTTGATTCCTGGACTCAGCATAACATGTGAGTAGAGTATGTTAGGTCTCTCCCTTAATCTGAGGGCCGTTCTCCAGGTTCTCCAGTTTTCCTCCCTCCACAAACTAAATTCCAATTCAATCTGTGACWTAACCATGCCCTGACTTTGATCAGTCCATAGGTTGTTTCAGGGTTAAAATCGAACTTTTCGTCATTCTTTAATTTGAACGTTTTGATGTAAGTGTTGCAACAGTCTGCATTTACTGACACATTCCTGACATTCCAATTTTCAGAACGTTATGGAAAAAGTGYTGTTTCTCAGGTGATGGTGAATTTATATGCGCAGGTAATCAAGAGTTATTCTTCCCACAGTGATTATTTTATCTTACTCTTTCTAAGCTTCCCTTCTCTTTTCAATTTAGGGTCTGCTCGAACACATGCGCTGTACATCTGGGAGAAGGGCGTTGGTAACCTTGTGAAGATCCTGCACGGAACCAAGGGAGAGCTATTGCTTGATGTAGTTGTAAGTAGAAAGGGTGTTTTTAAGATGACTTTAGGTTTTATGTTAAAGTGTTTTGTGGTTAAGAATGTTGAGTGTTTTGTTCACAGTGGCATCCCATTCGACCCATCATTTGTTCGATTTCAAGTGGAGTGGTTTCTATCTGGGCGCAGAATCATGTGGTAAGTATTTCGTAAATGAACGAATGAATGAATAAAAGAGATATGAAGTAAGGGACGAAAAACGAAGGGGAGGGAGGGAGGGAGGGAGGGAGGGAGGAGAGACGAGGGAAGGAAGCAAGGAATAAAGAAAAATAAAATGGAAGGGAGGGGGAAGGATGGATGGATAGAGGCATAGATGGAGAAAGGGAGAGACTGAGGGAGGAATTAATAAATGAACGAAGAGATGGATGGATGAATGGATGAATGGATAAATGGATGGATGGATGGATGAATGGATGAATGGATAAATGGATGAAGGAAGGAAGGAAGGAAGGAAGGAATAAAAGGAAGAATGGACACGACCAGTATTAATAAATAAAAAATAAAAAAAACACGAAAAGTTACAAGATAACGTAGTTAAGACAGACAGGCTGTCATTTCGTTTGTCTTTGATATCTTCATTTGAATTTCAGGAAAACTGGAGTGCTTTTGCTCCTGACTTCAAAGAACTTGAYGAGAACGTTGAATACGAAGAAAAAGAAAGCGAATTTGATATCGTAAGTTTTTCCTCGCTCAAGTGATGTCAGAACCTTCCAACGAACGAAGGAAACCTCTCTTTACCGACCAAGTCCAACTGACCACTTATCTAAAGCGACCATTTCTGAAGTAATGAGGGCGGGGGGGGGGTGGGGTGGTGTGGGCGGTAAAGTAGTGACTAGTCACCTCCCTTTTGCACAATAAAGATACAATTTTTACTCGGTGTTCTTTAAGCTCTCATAGTTAATTCCTGTCAATTTTAGACGCGAGGCACTTTTTCACCATTTGAAGTGACGCATTTTTACAACATTTTCGCGCCTTTTGTGCGTTTTCAGTGGTATTGGCGCGAGGTAATCACTTCCTTTTTAAAATTATGGATCCAAACCTTCGTAATCGTCTAATATGAGAGATCATCTTTACGTACTTCAAAGTAGATTAAGTATGTTTTTTGCAGTCCTGATGCTTAAGTTATTGAATCACAGGAAGACGAAGACAAAGAGGAAGAGCTTCATTCAGAAAGCGAAGCTGGTGAAGAAGAAGAAGTCGATGTAACAACGATTGAAAGAATACCAGCTTTATGCAGCAGGTAACCATAGCAACTGTCAATCAAATGTTTGAAGTGACACTGAAATGTTTTCCCTGTGAGTCAGAGAGTTCRAAAGTGACGTGTACTCAAATGGTTTCTCGTTCGAACCAATCAGAGAGCAGTCAGAATGAAGGCGCATTTTATCCAGTCACAATTCTCGAATGCGGCTTTGAACGACTCAATACAAAACTGACCATTAGTTCTAATTTCATGTGTCATTTTCTTCAGTGACGAGGAAAACGATGAAGAACTCGATCAATTGGCATATTTACCAGTCGCGCCAGAAATCGATGATCCTGAAGAGCCTCCATGGGCTACCACCGAGGTAAATCCCGTCACCATGACAACCAGTTTCCTGTTGCCATGGTAGGCGTTGTCAAGGGTTAAATTATTCTGAAAACACGGGCAAAACATGGAACAAATTGTTTTAAACTACGCGGGGAAAAAAGTGTAACGCAAAGAAAGTTGTGCTATTTCACACACACGCATGCGCAATTGGTATGTCAAGTATACAATCAAGTGATCTAACATTTCCGTGGTTTGTCACGTGTTTGAGTTAGGGTATTTTTCTAGTGACACGTTACACGGCATGGTCATGGTTAGGAATTAGACATCTAATGAGCCAATCACAGCGCGCGTTATGAAAGTGTCGTCACGGTCACGGCAAGTCTATAATGTTAATGTTTATACCGTGGCCTATTTATAGGTCGAGGATTACAGTCGCGAGCCTCCAAAACGACGCGCCACTCACGAACCTGCTGTCGAGACACCGAAAAAGAAGGTTAAAGTGATTGACATCCGACACGACTCGAACGAACACCAAAGTGACACCAAACGAACAGGCGAGTAACACACTTGCACTAATGGATTTTTATTAGTCTTTCTCGAGATGCGCTTTATAAAGGAAGTCGTGCTTCCTGTGGTGAGACTGAAGATTTGGTTATTCAGCCTTTTAGTGCCTTTTCGTTCGTGCGCACCTCTTCAAATAACGCTTTACTCGATATTTCATGTTAATATTGTATTTTTCCGTCATTAAATAGTTCAGTTTAAATTCAATTTTTTTAAAATACAGGTGTTCAAAAGGCAATAAAATCCTCGCCAGAGTCCAAAAAACTCGAGCAAAGTTTAATAAAAGAAAACCACGCGACAAATAACTCGGTGACAGCTGATAATGGTGCGGAGAATAACACAGAACAAGACAACGATGATGATAAAACCTTTGATAACGAAGGTCAAGACTCCTCGCCTGATACAATAGTAGAAACCAACGACGACTTGGAAGATTTTAAAGACACAAATCAAGAATCTGTGACGACTGAACAAGGGAACTAAAATACCTCGGGAGGGAAACGCGATGAAAACGATAGCGACTGAAGAAATAGGCATTATATTCTAGCTAAGGACAAGTGCTTGTTCAAAAAGAAGGAAACTGAACATTTTTCTCGCGACAATGAAGGACTGAAAGCTTTCTTTTGCCTTTCGCCATTTCCCGCCAATTTTCTTAACACGCGCGGTTTTGTTGAAAAAAATCTGTTATATTTTCAGCTAAAAAGTAAGAGATTTCTTCCTCGATGTACATTGTATTTCTTTGACTTGAATACGCAAAGCGTAGAAAAGTTTATTAGGGTTGCATGGAAACGTGCCTTGAATGGCTTCCACTCTGAAACAATCAAAAGTTGACAAATTTTATCTCATCCAATCAAGATGTTTTACTTCTTTGAGTATTTCTTGCTTAGCTCTGGTATTATTTATAGAATAAATAAGATTTGATCATCACATCCGATAAAGGGAGGAAACTCTTGTGTTTATTTAGAGATACAAATTACAGAAGTTTAGAATTAATACAGCAACTTAGGCCTGGCTAAACGAGGAAATATGTTTACTGCGCGCATGTTTCCTCGATGTTTGCCAGTTTAGCCACATGCGAAACATTGCTGCGTGCAACAAATTTTGCTTCCAAGACGCAAAAAGTGTTTTTGCTGTACGGCAGAAAAAATTATATGTTTCCAAGACGCATGGAAACATTGTTTCCCGGTGTTTCCTGACAGTTTTGCCACCTTAGGAAACATTTAGGGAAACATGTTTCCTCGTTTAGCCAGGGCCTTCACCAACGACGAAGACATGACGACATCAAATAACATCACACTTCATAACAAAAAACAACATCGTCAACCACAACAGACATCGAAAATAATATTGAAAAAACAGCAATGTTAACGATAACTACTTCTTAGTGAGAACAAGAACAAAGATACGTCGAATAAAAATGTTCTGTGTTTATTTCACAGTATATATTTACAAGGATATTTTATTCTCAAATAATAATTTACACGGCCAATATTATAAGCGGACTCGTTCGTTTCCATGGTGACTGTAATGTAAATAATTCAGAAACGGCTTGGAAAGATTATATTAATATTATCAAAGCGAGTAGAAAACAAGAGTCTACTACTACATCACGAAGTTAAAAATACAAATTTCGGGGTTCAAGTTTGAATATTGCGAATTCAAAAACACTTCTGAAATGCGTGCTAATATGAAGCCTCGAAAATTCAGTGTTTACAAATAGCAACAACCCCCACCCCCTTAGTTTTACTTTGACATTTTTATTACGTATGATCAGGACGTCATAGAAGCGCGAAAGAACGCCTGGCTTTAAGCTGTTGTATTTAAATAAAAATTCATTGAAGAATCAATGTATCTACAAACCCTATAAATCCAATCATTTCAAATCCTATGAAATGTTCATTCGATTTTGTGTGCCGGTCAAAGAGAAAGACGCACTCTTCAAATGGGTCAAAAAGACCATTTTTACCGATACGGCGGCTATTTTGAAATGTAACCTGGCCTCGAGATGAGCAGAGAGTCACTTTGAGACATCCTGAACATTCAAAATGGCATTCTATAAAATTAGAATTTAAGCAGAAAATTTCGAAAAAATTTGAAATTGAAAATTTCGTTTATCGGAAAACTGACACTAGAGTAACTCGAAATTGTCTAAACAAATCAAACTATTTTTAACCAATAGGAATGCGGAAGCCATTTAAGAGTCAACATTCCGTACGTCTGTCATACAAAATTCCCCATTACTTTAAAACGCACGACAAAGGACTCGAAAATTCTTTTGGACGGGTTAAAAAAGCAGGGGGGAAAGGTAATTTTGTGTTTGAAAAAGAATGAGCGATGCAATTAGAAATCACAGTCGATTTGCAGACATTCGAAATAAGTTATTCTAGGTTAGAAGCCCTGTATTTGGAGACGGTTAGTTGAGGTATTTTCTGCATCGTTTGGAGTTGCACAGACAGGGTAACTTCTCATCTTCTACCGGGAACTTGTAATCGTAAGTTAATTCTTCACCTCGGGAGATGCTGTTGACAGATAAATCCATGATTCAAGTCTGATTCTATAAAGAGCTTAGCTTCCAATCAAGCTTGGAACTTCACATGAGCCTTACGCATTGAAAACAATGGATAAATAAGGCGTTCTTTCTTTCATGAAGTTCAACTTTTGCAGTTCTTACACAATTTTCCCGCCTTTTTCCTAAGCATGCGCAGTATTTTTTATCCGTGTCGAAGTAATCAAGAACTTAGAATACAAACCTTCTTGCAGCAAATATCAGAATCTTCTTCTGTCCGTCTACTGTTGCGATCTTTGAATAGCAGTTACACTTTAGGATAAAAGACAATGAAAATCAGAGGTCAAACGAACCTATTCCATGCAAAATAAATCGCAGAAAGCCTTAAAACTGCAAGGGTCTTACCTCACAAGAATGATTGATAAACCTGGCAGCGTTACCAGACGTTGTGGCGTCAACTACGTTGATCTCATCGACGCGAAACATGTAGCAACCAATGCCCTACGAACGATACCAAAGATAATTAGAATCAATCCTATTCACCGACCGACCGTCCGACCATCTAACCAAGACCGACCGAAACCGATCGGCAAATCAATGCCCAACAAATGATACCAAAAATAATTAGAAAACAAACTATTCACCAAGACCGACCGAAACCGATCGGCAAATCAATGCCCAACAAATGATACCAAAGACATATAAGGATTTCAAATATTACAATAAGTGCCAAGTACTCCATCGACCAACCTTCCGACTAACCAAACGACCGAGCAACCAACCCCGACCGTCCAACCAATCGAGCAATTTAACCCACGCATAATTTTCTGCACGTATATCGGTATACTGTCTTCATACCTTACTGTCGTAGTATTTTTCTCGTTTGTCGGTGAGCGATGATCTTATCAATACTCCAGAGTACTCGATAACTAGTTCGCCAGCAGCGATGTTACGAGCACAGTACAAGCCACGCCCGTGAATACCAGACCTGTGCAATACAATAATGATAATAATCAAAACGAGATAGAGAAGAGATTTCGTGACTGTGAAAATCTCACTGATATGCACGGCACGGTCACGGTAAGGGAGTAACGATAGCTGTTGAACCAATCACATCGCGCAAGATCACCATTCATCTAATCATCGTATCGTACGTCTTTTTTAAAATATGGTATGAAATTTTGGCATGTCACGCTACTTTGTCACGCACGGTAGTGACATCCAAATGGATTCGACTATGTACTAATCAAAAAGCGAGAAATACGCACACCATCCAATCACAGTGCTTAAAAAATGAAGATAGGATTCTTTCATTTTACCTGTATACTGCGACCGAGTTCTTGTTGTACCCGTTTTCTTTGAGCTGCCGGTAACGCATGGCCATAGGAAGATCAAGTGCTGTTGCTCGCCTGTTGGATGAATTGAAACATAACTGAGCTATTGCGGTTTTCGTAAGAGTGGGACTAGAACCTACAACACTGACTTACAGCACGTACACGGTACGACAGGTAACAGTAAAAGGGTTTCCCGTAGTCTAGTCTAGTCCGTAGTCCATTAATGTATGCAATCACAAACGTAACTACGATACAGTAAGATACAGTACGACTACGAATTTGCCATATCGTTTTTCAACTCATACAAAAACCGCTTCAAAATCTACATGTATTCGTACAGAACACAAGAACTCGAAACTTAAATTTCCAAGCAGTGGATTGCCATTGTGAGTATAGAAACAACGAGTTTGGTTACTTACTTGACAGCCATTGGGTTATCGTAGTTTGGCTCGGACCAATCCTGGTCGTCTGCGTCGTCCGCTAACTGAGGCGGTGTACGGTAGATAGAAGAGAGGAAAGCAAACATGTCGTATTTCTTGGTCCTGCAGAAATATGATGTCTTTATTAGCACTAACATTCACTACTCAATATCATTTTTGGCTTGAGTCACGTACACACAAAGAAATAATCAAGGGAATGACCTAACAATCAAAAATAGAAAAAATATACTCGAACTAAAGATGCTAAAGAATGAATATTTTACCTTTTATAGACTTCTGTTCTACAGCATCCCGATGGATTTTCTTTTAACTCCTGCAAATTAATTAAAATAAAGAGTTAATGCAATCTATACAGAGCAGACCCATAAATTTCTGCGGTGCGAGTTAGTTACCATTCTCCCTTCATAGCAGTCCCATAATTCCATGCGGTGCGAGTTAGTTACTATTCTCCCTCCATAGCAGTCCCATAAATCCCTGCGGTGCGAGTTAGTTACTATTCTCCCTCCATAGCAGTCC